ACCAGAGCATGGCACAGCCCAGAAGCAGAGGTGAGTGTGGACCAGTGGAGCCCAGGTGCAGGGGGACAGGGGGAGCACGGTGCAGCCCAGCAGCTGCAGGCAGCTGGCACCGGCCGCTCTCAGCACTGCTGCCACCAGGGCTGGGGTGCGTGGGGCCACAGCCCTTTCCCCTCCCCACAAAGACTTACCTGCTTGGGTGGGAAGGGGTGTCTATGCTAATCGCATAAGAGCAAATTTACCTTGCATATAATGAATTATGAGTCAAAATATGCTTATCGCATAAGAGCGAATTCGCATATAAAGAATCTGCATAAATTCGAGGGACACGTGTACCATGAGATTTACTCTGTAACTGAATGGAATGGGTGTCACAGTTACAATCAAGTTTCTGATGCTGACAGCCAAGTTTGTTAGCTCAATATTTGCATTCTGTGAGTTGTGCTTAAAATTTATAGTTTCTATGAACATTCCTGCCAGTAAGCTTGTTTGCAACAGCAGGGATTTTCAAAGAAGCCTGTGCGTGTTTCCAAAGAACTGAAATCACATTCTTCTTTGAGAAACCCAATTTAGAATATTTACTGGAGGCAGCAAAAAATGAGGCATAAGCACTCAGTAAGAAATATTTTTTTCAGCTGAGTATTTACAGAGAACTTGTTGAGGTATTGGCTCAGTTCTCATTGCTTTTCATGAGAAACAAATCTCCACTGTTCTTACTTTGACCTAAAAAGAAATTATGGCCACTCTAAAAATGAAAAGAATCATGGGTAAGTACTTTAAAGGGCCAATTTTATAAAAGCATAATAATGACACTGTAAGTTTTAGAGTTCAAATCTTGTAGCTTTCAACCCTGGTTAACTGTCTGGGGAAGTCCAGCATTTAGTGGGTATTGTATTTGTGTCTACACTTTTCCTTTGCAAAATAAAACACTAACTTTGTAGGCATAGGCTCACTCTTCAGACAAATTCATGTTCTTTGAATAGTTCCTCTTGTCTCAAGTACATTTTCTCAAGTGTTTCTGTACATGTCCACATATATGCAGGTGAGCATGCTTGTTTCCATGCATAAACAAAGGATAGACAAATCAGACTCCTAAAGTAATTCTGCTAACTGCACCCAATTCAAAAAGTATTGGCTACACCTTTATGAAGCTTGGATAAAGTTTAGGAGGAGAATCCCAGTTGTGGAGTGAACCTACAACCTCTAAATCTATATATGGCAGATGTGTTAACCAGAGGACTAGCATACATAAATAACATTGTCCACTTACTTCGTGGTAGCACACAGAAAAAGTGATTTTTGTATAAAGGAAGTGAAGGAATAGCAAAAAAATTAAGGTACATACTTTTTATAAGAAAGGAAATACTGAAGTACCCACCTATTTATTATTAGATAAACACGACCATTGACTTTGGCGTGGCTATGAGGTAAGAGATGAAAGCACAAGAATGCATGTGATGGCAATGGAAAAATGAATTAGAGAGAGAAAAAGAGATTGTTAAACAGGGATGAAAGTACTTAACTTTTTACTATAGAGGTACATAACACAATGTGGCACTAAGTTGGAAAGTTTATTACAAAACATGCAGTTGAAAATGCTAGGAAGCCCACAGATTCAATAGTGTTACTTGGATTATATGTAAATTAGAAAGATCTTAGGAAATCTTAGAGACCCCAAAATATCAGAAGAGGTGTTATTCTTTTATATTCTTAGTCTAATCCCTTATCATATAAAATAATTACTTTATTAAAAAAATCAGAAATGAATCTTTTGCTTCTTTTGACTGACATTTATCTTAACTGCTTCCAATGGCCTCATTACTTTAATATCTCAGTATTTCACAGTTTAAGGTTTGATCTCCAATTTTTAAGTTGTGAGACAGAAATAGGGAATTGTTATATAAATTTTATTAAAATAGGGAAGAATTTTAGACAGACGATGATGTAGCTTGACTGAGGCCACAAAGGGAAAGTTTAATGGAACAAGGAATTGACCTGGATCGAAGGCAAGCATCACAATCACCAGACCTTTCCTCAATATAAAATTCCCCTTTCATGTAAAATTCAACAGCCCAATGCTGCCACTGAGAAGTGTCTTTCTCCATGAGAAAATTTCATTGTTCCAGCACCTACCTAGCGGAGCCCTACCCAGGACCAAGCTTCAACATCTTTACTTAACTAGTAACAGTGTGTGAAGTGGGCCCTATTCGATTTGGATTTGGCACGAATCAAGGACAGTAATTTGATTTGTTGATTCAGATTACTGTCCCTGATTCGATTTGGCTGAATCCGAATCTGAAGATTCGATGCTGATTTGGGGAACACAGACATAGCTTTAAAATTTTTGCTACATACCTTGATGTAGCAGGCATGGCTCACAATCACTGCAATGCTAGGGCACATAGAGCATCCTACAGGAGTGGGGGGGGGGGCTGCTTCCATGTAGTCGGCGACGAACTCAGAAGTGGACCAGAAATACTTCTGATCTACTTTGGGTCTGCCAGGAGTGCACCGGGCTGCCCCCCCCCGTGACTCCCTGGCTTGGCAACTGGCCATGGGGGGACCCTGGGTGCCTCCCCCAGACCCAGAAGGCACCAGTCACTGAGTTGCGGGTTGGGGGGGGCCCCCACCACGCTCCCCAGTGGACCCGGAAGTGTTTCTGGTCCACCTGCCAAGTGCACTGGGAAGCCCCCCACACTCCTGTGGGACGTTCCATGCACCCCAGCACTGCAGCACTCATGAGCCACTGCTACCTATAGGTATTTACAAAAAACATTTAAAGCTGTTTCTAAGTCTGAATCTCCAAATCTTTCCGAATCTCTCTGAATGGATTCAGAGGGTTCTGATTCGATTCGGAGAGATTAAAGGGTCCTCTAATTCGATTTGGATTCAGAGATTCAGCCACCGAATTGGGCCAAATCTCCACCAAATCAAATCAGGGAGGAAGCTTTGCACAGCTCTATTAACTAGCTCAGTTGTGCCTTACTCTTCAAATCATTCCACTGATTTCCCTAAAACTCAATGACAATGAAAGGTGCTTACAGTCCAGTTCCACAACTAGATGATAATATAACATAATACACTTCCCTTACTATTTTAATAAATCAAAGTGATAAAAACCTAGCCATAGCTACTAAAATTGCTAGTATCAACACCCTAACCATGATGACACTTATACCCTGCATAAGAATATTTTCATTTACTCCAGATGATTATCCTCATACCAAGTACACTGTTTTGTGTACTTTTTCTGATTGTAGTACTCCCTAATTCTGATTTTTTTCATTTTCAGCAGGACCTTGGTAGCACTTTGTGTCAAATCATGCCACTAGCTTCATGCTTTGCACAAGAGCATTGATTTTATTTGTGCCTCCCTTTGAAGACCTACAACACTCTATGAATGTTGAACTTGCATATATGCCTTGGTAACAACACACAGGATGTGAAGACAGCAGTTTCATAGGAAGCAAATACTGTAGCATGAGCACATCATCAAAAGTAGGACTATTTCAGGCATTTCTCTCATACTATGTTCTTGAAACTCACTATATGCACATGAAAGCTGCTGCTGTTGACAAACACAGAGCAAAGTGCTTAGTATTCAGTAAAACTTGTGTAGTTACCAACTACTGTGGAATTTCCCCCAAATGTCAATTCTTAAGCCCTCTTCTTAGATTCAGCCCTTTGACAGGCACAAGTTCTAGTGTACGATCTCAAAGTTTGGGGAAATTCAGAGAAACGCAAAACATCTCCAGGACACAAAAATTCATGCATAAGTAATCTCAAGAGAGCCCCGAATTTACCATGTGATTTCCTACTTTACTGACATGAATTAAGATAAAAAAGGAATGAAGAAGACAGACATTTGAAAAAGCAAATAAAGAAAATACTGTTAAAAAATTATTGGTATTCTTTTATAGTCTATTTAGAATACAAGACTGAGAACTTTTTAAATCATTTTGGAGAAGTAGAGCTTATTCCAAAAACAATGCTGAACAGGAACGTAACACCCTTGCATCATACTGTACATATATTTCACACTGAGATAAAAATATTGGCATACTAAAATAAATATCTGATTCCAATAACCAAAGACATTCCTATATTTCCTGTATGTTATATCATTAAAAAATCATAGCACATTCTCTATTGGTGTAAACAGGCCTTAATCTGTAATTCATTCATGGCATAGAGCTATCTTTCCAAATCCATGAGAATAAAAATGTCAGATGGAAAACATGTCATGTTCTACAAATTAATGTCCTCACAAATGGTGGTATGAATCTAATTATATTATAAAATTATACAATGTTGTATAACACCTTTTAATTGCCTATACATTTGGCATATGGCGACAACACAGATTGGCTTTTAGGCAGAAAATGCTTTAGGTATACAATATACTGAAAGCTCATTCCATTAAACATCCAAAAATGGAGGGGTTAGGGACTAAGGTTAAGATCACCAAAACACACTGCTGTCTATTTTGTTGAGCCCATTAAGTTGGCACAGCGTATAGGTCAAATTTTCAGGAACAAGCAGCAATGCTGGATGTCCCCATTTCCAGTTAAATTAAATGAAATTTTAATTTCATGTCTGAGATACCTAAATCAAGGTGCTAAGTAATTTCTGAAAGTTCAGCTTCTTTAATCTATTTCAGCTGGTACACTTAAAACTGAGGCAATAAAACTCTTTGAAAGCATTCCCATTATTGCCAGGAGTGTTTAAAAGGCCCACAGGGAACATATGCACTTTATTCCCATTGACAGGCAAGGCAAGTTACATGTTTAAGTGTCACTGCTGCTTTTGAAAATATACTGTAAAGTATAAACTTAAATATGTATGGTTGGGGTGGGGGAGTTGCTTGTTTTCTTTGTTTTTTTGTTTTTAAATGAGTTGAATCATAAAAAGATTTAAAAAATATTTATTGAAAAATAAGCATTAGTGGACAGTCAAAAAAGGGGCTCTGAATAAATGGCAGTTTTATTTATTTGCTTGTTTACCTGTAAATAGTGTTGTCTTGTTTACTGGTTACAGCTTTTAAGTCAGTGAGCTGAAGAAAATGGTCATGGAAGTAGTGAAGGTGTAATATACACACTAATAGGAAGGAGGTTGGTATGAAGATTCGTGTGAATAGCATAGCCACCGAAAACCGTTCTAAACCGAGATCTTCTAGTCTGAAAAATAAAACAAGGCATTAAGTCATTTCTTTGATTTGTAATTTTCTTCCTTATCACATGAAAGAGTGAGCGTCACAAGGGCTTGCTAAAGAAAATAAGCTTAGATACTTGCTACATATTTGTACTTTTGTTTTTCTGAAAAAAAAATTGCAATGTGAATAGAAATTAAACACTTTATCTTGAATTTTTACTGCTTCAAGATCTGAGAGATTCATTCAACCATGCAGTTAAATACATTGCCATTATCACAAAAACTGTGGATTTCATTTCTATTTTTCCAATGCAGTAGTTCCTCCATCACCTAGCCACCATGTTATTACAATATTGTAGGGTGATGGAAAACAATGAAAGATTAATTCAGCTTCTCGAACATACTTCACTGGGATCCTACATAAGGTGGCAACTTTGGGGCATGTTTAGTATTTCAGAAGATCTTTTTTCCCTACAGTCCTTAAGATTATTTCCAAGACGGCTTATGGTAACCGTATGATACATGATCTGACCTTTTCAAATTGCAAGCATACTTTTTAAAAGAATTATGACTTTGACCTCTAATAAAAAGGATAATATGATTTGTAATATCCTTTTAACAGAAAAAATGTAGGCGTTATTTTGTGTTATGTGGAGATGATTAGAGTAAAGCAATAGGACTTGGTTGGAGACTGCCACTAGCACAGCTGGAATTACTAGGTAGAAGTAGAGGCGATACAAGGTAACCAAGAAAGAGGAGCAGCAAAACATGGTGACTTTTATTTGTAAAAATGACTGTGGTGTGGTAGGGGCAGAAGTATGTGTATCTGGGATTCATAAAGCAGCAAAATCCCTAATATCAGTCACAACTAGTGAATGTCTCATGACATTTTTCAGTTAAAACAAAGAAAAGAAGGAAGGAGGTCTAAGGGCACAAATGATCCTTCATCCATCATTTTTATTGTGGGCTTTAGGTTTGCAAACTGTTTACAAAATATGGTGAAATATTTGCATTTTTCTCCATAAAAATTTGTAAAGCAAAACTATATCTATCTTTGAAATTGCAATCAATCAATCAATCATCCATCTCCTTAGCCTCCCAGAAGCCAGACAACTTCAAAATACTCACTTATTTTCATCCAGTCCTGTCATATTCTTCCACAAGGAACCAAATGATTCAAACTGGTATGTGTAGATGAAAATAAGTACCAGCATAGTATAAACAACCACTGACATCCAAAAATATTTCAGGATTCGTCTCCACCATTCATAGTGCACCTGTGAACAAATGCATTTCATTGCTGCACTAGCAGATAGACTTGAAAATATAACCCTTTTTTCTTACCTAAAGAAAGTTATCTACCCTGTAGTAACTGTGATTCTTTCAGATGTGCTGCACATATAGATTCAATTCTTGATGTCTGAGATCTTTTGAAAATCAAATGTCCTTTGAAGTTCTTCTTGCTGCTAAGGAGGGCTTAAGGGGTAGGACAATCCCAAGCACAAATAAGTTCCATCATTGGGAGCAGGGCTCAAGTTACTGGCAAGAAGTGTGAGGTTATGGAGTCTATATGAACAACCCATCCTGAAGAACCACTGTCACAGGAGTAAGTAACCATTGTCATAGAATCATAGACAATTAGGGTTGGAAGAGACCTCAGAAAATCATCAAGTCCAGCCCCCTGCTCAAAGCAGGACCATCCCCAACTAGATCATTCCAGCCAGGGCTTTGTCTATCCAGATTTTAAAAAACACCAAGGATGGAGATTCCACCACCTTTCTTGATAACCTGTTCCAGTACTTTATTACCCTCCTAGTGAGAAAATTCTTCCTAATATCTAACCTAAAGTTACCTGACTGTGACTTGAGACCATTGCTCCTTGTTCTGTCATCTGCCACCACTGAGAACTGTTTAACTCCATCCTCTTTCAAACTTCCCTTCATGCTGTTGAAGGCTGCTGTTAAATCCCCTCTTAGTCTTCTTCTCTCTAAACTAAATAAGCCCAGCCCCATCAGCCTCTCCTCATAAGTCATGTCCCCCAGCCCCTGAAGCATTTTCATCACCCTCCACTGGACTCTCTCCAATTTGTCCACATCCTTTCTCCAGTGCAGAGCCCAAAACTGAACACAGTACTCCAGATGTGGCCTCACTAGTGCTGAACAGAGGGGAATAATTACTTCCTTTGATCTACTGGCAACACACCTACCAATGCAGCCTCTTGGCAAAAAGGGCACACGGTTGGCGCATATTCAACTTATTGTCCACTGTAACACTCAGACCCATCTCTGAAGAGCTACTGCCCAGCCAGTCAGCCCGTAGCCTATACCGGTGCATGGGACTGTTCCATCCTAAGTGCAGGACTTTGTACTTGTCTTTGTTGAACCTCAAGAAATTTCTTTTGGCCCAATCCTCCAATTTATCTAGGTCATTCTGAATCCTAGCCCTACCCTCCAGCATACCTATTTAACTCTGTTCTTCCTGGTTTCAGCCAGGCCTGGAAAGGGGGAAGGTCAGAAATATCATAAAACAACCAATTCTCATGATTAATTCTACAGAATCAAGAGGTTCAAAAAGTTTATTAGTACATTTTTAAAATATTACAGCACCCATTATCACAGAATATGGGTACTAGCTCAAATAAGCATGCTGATGTTTGTGTGCTTTTCCATACTACATCTGAATTCAGAACATTTACAGCTTTTCTATCATTATAACCCCTCAGCATATTGAGACTTACTAGCATAAAAAAATCATCAAGTGATCTTATCCTTAATGTGTTGTAGTTAATGAGAAAAGAAATATACAGAATTTAAATGATCCATGTAGTAACTTCTGCACTAAGTTAAAGGACACAAACCAAAATAATCAATGGCAGAATTTAGCCTCATTTACCTGATATAAGACCACGCAGAACAAGAAGAGCATCATGTAGATGATTTTGTACATGACAATTCTACCTTCGAAGCTGACAAAGAAGAACATTCCCCCACAGACATAAATCCAGTATTTAATGAACATAGCCATCACCAGCTTTCCCAGGACTTTCATAATATCCTGTTCATCATCTTCATCTTCCTCTTCTTCCGCTGGAACTTCTCTTTCTTGCAATTCATCTTCTACAAAGACACAAATAAAATTGCATGGCTCTCTATCTACTTTGAGGGGATGTTTTAGACACAGAAAATGGGAAGCATACATAAAGAAGATATAGCAAGGGTACATTCAGATGTGTGCCAGAATTACATCCTCCACTCCCTGCAAGTGAGGAAAAGAGATTTTTCTGGGTCATTTTAGGAAACAGGAGAAGGGTGTGAGAAGACGTAACAGAGCAGAAGTACACTCCGTATGATTCTCAAGTGGTGTTAGATCCACACCATACTGTAAACTGCTTTGACCTCCACTGTGGCTGGGGGCTGAGCCATAAGTAAGTCACACCAGCTTCTTGTAGTTACCCTCAACTTCACCCCTAAGTCCTCAGATACAGGGAAACAAGGCCTGAGGGTTATGTATAAGGCCATAGTAAAAAACAACATACAATAAATAAATAAAAAATCTATTGTGATGCTTATATTGCCAGGCAAGAAAATGTTTTAAATTGGAAAAAAGAACAACCAAGGGATGAAGTCCTTATGAGAAGACTGTGGGTTTCTCTAAAAACAGAAACAACACAGAGCTGTAACATGGTCACTCAGTGATCTGGATATTGGTAATAAAGGGGGCTGTGCCAACTACCAATGGCAGCAGTGTGGTCAGCCAATGCTGTAGCTGCAGCTATTTGTGTGCCCTCTCCTCCCCCAAAGGCTGATGCCCCAGTTACCTCCCTTCAGTTATGCTACTGAAACAGTACAAAGTGCTGATATTCAAAGGTGAACTTCTGGTTTAAAGTGAATCAAACAAACCTTTAAAAAAGCATAGAAATGTGGTCCAGGCAGGCAGTAGCATAACTGCGGAGGGTGACAGGGGTGGGGAGGGTGGCAGGGGGAAGTGAAAATGCAGCTATTGCTGCAATGATAGTTGACTGCATGGCTGCAGGTGGCATGACAGGAGCTGGCACTGCCCCAGGTGTGGAGCTGTATTGCTATGCCCCTGAAGCCAGATGTGAAATTGTATATTTCATTTCCCCTCTTCCCTTGCTGTGACTAAGCCTATAGAAAAAAGCAAATTACCACTGCCCCATTTAGTTGAGAAGACAAAAGGGAATACTTGGTTCCTAATTTTACTATGCTGGGGATATAGTAATAGCCCATGCATGCGCACGTGCGCGCACGCGCGCACACACACACACACACACACACACACTCACACACAGCTGTACCAGGGCCTATCTTGGCAAAGTCATGGCTCCTAACATCTTTTCCAGGCCTAGTTCTGACCTCATTTGCATTAGTTGAACAAAAGAAAAACTGCTCCTTACTGAAATCAGTAGACCAAAGCTGCTGTTTTGTAAGTGCAGCTCCTATGGAAATCACAGGGCATGGATAAAGGACATATTTACACAGGTATAATTGACCTATAAACTCATGCAGAAAAGAACAGATGGATCTCACCTAATCCGGTGTAGAATTAACTGTGAAAGAAAAAGGAGCAAATCTACACCAGGATAAGTTATGCTGGTATATATTTCATATGCCCACACCCTATCCTGGGGTTGTCATTTGCACAAGGAAAACAAGTTACTGCTTATTTCCTTATCACCTAGTGGTAAGGCACTTCAGTAACCACAGACTGCATTCAGTTAGCCCAGGATAGCTACACATCTGCCCACTATGGATCCTGGTATAATTTATATTGGCAGACAAAACCAATGTAAATTATACCAGTGTGATCTTAGCATCTTTCCACGTCCACTGACCAACTCTTTCCAGGTAAGCTCTTCTTCTATTTTTAAATGCAGCTAACAGAGTTTTATGTTTTGTCTTTTTATTTCTTATTATTAGACAGTTTCGCTGTAGCTGTCATTTCATTCACCTATTTTAAGTTGATGCCATTTATTGCAGTTGAATTGTAAAAAAAAAGTGTTGTATTGGTTGATGTAATGGGTGCAGACAGAAGTGCAGCTCCCAGCTGTAACAGAACAATTTCTGTAAAGCGTTTTGAGTTACAGCATTACCCCAGACCAAACAGAAATTCACTGTTGGTTCCAGGGGAGAGGGGAATTTAGCTGCCAGCTTCGAGCTTGCAGCCAGGCTCCCATAGCAATGGCTAGGCTCTCTGCCAAAGCTCCTGTTTTGAGGATGGGAGCAGGGAAATGCAGTGGAGGGAGCTCATCCCCAGACAGTGTTGAAAGGTGGGTTGGCTGAACTGGAGCACTCCCACCTCAGGGGGCTCCAATACCTCTGTCCCACCCTCTAGGGAGGGCTAAAAACCCCACAGACTGAACTCCCTCTGCTCCCTTTCCCCGCTCCCATTCTGCAAATAGTGACAGGCTGGGAGCTGGCAGGCACAAGTTACAGAAGATGCTATATTTTGAAACACCTTTATCTGATACCTCATGCAATGAGGGGTCAGATTTTCATGCAATCGGCTATTTTTGAAGCTGCTTGCAGCCATGCACTTGTGTTTCGTCACAGCTATAAATGACTTTCTGTGGCCAGAACAGGAGAAAATCATCACTTCTATCTGCACCCTATATGTATTATTTGTGTAAGCTCTTTTATTATATTACTCAAGAGATCTGCAATGCAAGGTTTAACAACATCTAGTTCAATCAATAACAGATGCAACTGCTAATTACTTTTGCAATAAGAAAGGTACCCATAGGCTCTATCACCTTTGGAAGGACTTAGTTAAATTAGATGTGGCTTTACCTTTCTCTTCATTTTCTTCATCGCTGCCAATTTTGACCTCAGATAAAGATGCTTCTTTTAGCTGAAGTGCTTTCTTCTCTGTGAGGTGTTGCCTAAGCAGTAGCCAGAAAGTAATCGTGAAAAGAATCTGCAAGCAAAAATCAAAACAAAAACAAAAGAGACACAGACTAATTGTGCATTCTACATTCTGCTAATAGCAACAGATATTCTCAAACTGCTTTCATGCCTTTGTTTTCACTATGGGACAAAAACAGCACCAATGGCACCAATACAGCCATTGTCAAAGTGCATGGTCCTGGAAGCTAGGTCATTTGGACAATGTATGGTATTAAAAACAATCTTATTTTCCTTGAGAGTACAATCCATTTGGGTGGGACAATATTGATTTTATATCCTGAAACCTTTATTAGTAGCGTGTTTTTTCAACCTCTAATTTATTCTCTTCTAATTAGCCTGTCACACAAACCTTGTTACTTTAGTAGCTGAGCACCTTTTCAGTAGTGCATTGAGCAACATGAGCAGTATCTATTTGTGTTTGTCATTTTCAGCACTCCCCAGGAGTAGAAATCTGTGCAACAGATTGGGATGTTTTTATTAGTTTTATTTTTAGTATATTTATAGAATAAAGTATTTTGCTGAGTATATTATAGAAGGCAAAGTCAAAGAAATGCACCTTCTTTTTAGAGTAGAGATGATAATGTATTTGAAGATTTTTAGCACTATGAGGTGATATCTTTATTATTATATAACAACAAGGTACCTTATAAATAAATTAAGTCCTTTAACAAAGAGTAAACTTCTGTGTTTTGTACACTGCCAAGTTCAACAGGTTTAATACTGAGAGAGACTTTATCCTAAATTCACTGAAGGCAATGTTCCCATTGATTTCAAGTAGTGCAGAAGCATGCTTCACTTCATTGCTTTATAAAGCAAAAAAATTTATATATTAAAGAGGAGATATAAAAAGAACATAACATAAAGCTGAAGCATAACGTAAAGCTGAAGTGGAACAGTACTGTAGCCCTGCTGCTGACAAGGCTGATGATGTCAGGGAAAAACAGACACCAATGGTTTTCATCTAATGGGAAAGTTAAGTGATGGTGGTAAGGAGAGGTTTCACACAGGCAAGCAGCTGCTTTCAAGGGCCTTACGCACAAGATAAACACAACAAGGAGGATCCTCTCATGCTGTAAATTGCTTTAGCTACATTAATATACCCAGAAGCTCTGAGACTGCCCACAGGCCAGTGGCTGCTGCTATGCAGTTTTCAACACAGTACAGCACACATCTCTAGTGTGCTGAATGAGCTGTCTTTTCCAGTTGCATTTGCCCACGAAACAATGTGTGCCGAGGAAACCGTGGAGTGTTCAATTCTCTTTTTCCACTGACTGCATCATTAAATTGCTATTTAAATCTAAAGGGTGCATTTTATCTAGTCTAATGAATCAGGCAGGCATCTTCCCTTAGTTTTATAGGCACAATTAAATTGTCCTTTATACATGATAACTTCACTTTCCTGATAACAGATTTAAACAAGATATTCCATGATGCAGCTAATCAACGTTTATTGCAAACAGGTTGGCAATACACTAAGGCACTTATATTCCCTTGAGAGAGATTTACAAAAAACCCTGTATAAATTAGCCGACAGAACCTCTTGACCACTTACTCTCTCACAAACATTGAAACTGCCTTGCCTTCTATCTTTAGAGGAGAGAGAGAGAGAGAACACCTCTTTATTAGGGCTGTGCGATGCTTCGGTCCCTGATTTGATTCAGCAGAGATTCGACCCGATTCAGTGGCCAAACCTCTGAATCCAAATTGAATCAGAGGACCCATTAATCTCTCTGAATTGAATTGGAACCCTCCGATTTGGCTGTGAATGCTGTGATGTTGGGGTGCATGCAGCATCCCACAGGAGCATGGAGGGCTCCCCAGTGTGCTCAGCAGTAGACCTGGAAGTGGACCAGAAGCATGTCCAGTCCACTTCTGGGTCCACCGTGGAGTGCACAGGGAGCCCCCCCCACAATGCCTCCCCAACTCAGTGCCTTGTACCTCCTGGGTCTGGGGGGACACCCGGGGTCCCTCTGTGACCGATCGCCGAGCCTGGGGGGGCACAGAGGGGCCCCACTGCGCAATCCCTCCTGGACCCAGAAGTGAACCAGAAATACATCTGGTCTACTTCTGCATTTGCCACTGAGCATGTGGAGGGCCCCCTTGTACTCCTCTGGGACGCTCCATGGGCCCCAACATCACAGCGTTCACAAGCCACTCTGGTACCTCGAGGTACGTAGAAAAAACATTTAAAGCTGTGTCCATGTCCGAATCACTGACTCACCAAATCAGCATCGAATCTTCAGATTCGGATTCAGCCAAATTGAATCAGGGACAGTGATCCAAAACAATGAATCGATTCACTGTCCCTGATTCAGGTTGCATCCAAATCAAATTGATGGAGCGTGGCAGACTACCACGATCTGGGGGGGCGTGCTGAAGGAGGTAGGTGCACAGGTGGTTTTCTCTTCTGCCCTACCAGTGAGCGGACGTGGAAGACGGTATGAGATGTGCATCACAGAGACCAACTGGCAGCTTCGGGAATGGAGTCTCGAGGTGGGCTTTGGCTTCCTCGACAACGACCCGCACATCACGACAAGAGATATGCTCAGATGGGATGGACTCCACCTTTTCCCTAAAGGTAAGTATGTGTTTTCTTCTAGGTTGGCGGATCTCCTCCAGCGGGCTTTAAACTAGGCTCATTGGGGGAAGGGGAAGAAGAGGGCGGAGGAAGCCTTGGACTGCCAAACCAAGCAAAACCCACAAGTACAGCCCAGCCCAAACCAATGAGCGGAACATATACACAGGTAAGCAACAGGGGCCAGGGCAATGCTGAGAGTAGGGGGCCAGTGCACACATCCTCAGGAGGCCTCAAATGCCTCTACATAAATGCTCATAGTATGGGAAACAAGCA